GTATTTTAGTAAAAACATCTTGGGGTTCAGGAGTGGGGAGGCAGACCCAGGGTGAGAGGGAACTCGTCACTGGGTGAACGGGAGGAACGGAAGGATTTGATGAGAGCTGGTGGCAGGATATTTAAGAGCTTATAATAGGGGCGCCTGTGTGGCTCAGACTGTTAAATGTCCAACTCATGATTTTGGCTCAGGTCACGATCTCAAGGTTTGTGGGTTCAAGCCCTGCACTGGGCTCTGTGCCGACACTGCAGAGCCTGCCTGGGATTCTCTGCCTCCCTCTCTCTCTCTGCCCTTCCCTACTCATGCTCTCTCTTTCAAAAATAAACATTAAAAAAAATGGGGCGCCTGGGTGGCTCAGTCGGTGAAGCGTCCGACTTCAGCTCAGGTCATGATCTCACGGTCTGTGAGTTCGAGCCCCGCGTCGGGCTCTGGGCTGACGGCTCAGAGCCTGGAGCCTGCTTCTGATTCTGTGTCTCCCTCTCTCTCTGCCCCTCCCCCGTTCATGTTTTGTCTCTCTCTGTCTCAAAAATAAATAAACGTTAAAAAAAAAATTAAAAAAAAAAACAAACTCACATATGCAAGCAAGGGTCCATGTTCTGGGGCACATGAATGAATTATAAATTTCTATTTTGATTTAGTTCCATTTTGATTTTTTTGAGCTTTTTTGGGGGAGTGCGCGCTATTTTTCTGCACATGTAGTTCTAAAACATCTCTGAAGTTGGCCTTGAGCTTCTGAACGTAGACAAAAGCCAAAACACGGTTTTCGGGTGTCCCCACGTGTCTACCTCTTCCCGACACGTGTGCCCGGAGGACAGAGAAGCTGGTTTTCTTCTGACAAACAGCAGCAGCTTCTTCTGCAAGCTGGAGCCCATCTGTTTAGAAAGTGCGGGGAGCAGGTAGGAGCGTGTGACTAGGCAAGGACCGAAACGTTCTCTCCACTCCACCTGGGAGGTAACCTGTGCTTCACATCCCCCAAAGCCACCGGGGCTTCAGAGTGCCAACCAGAATGGCAAAGTGCACCCAACCAGGCACACCCTGGAACAAGCTAGAGTCCTGCCCATTTCTGGGCAGCAATCAGCTAGGGCTCCCGGCCTTTTAATTTTTTTTTTTTTTTGGTGGATCATATGGAAACGCTTGAGTGGATTCTCGCAGGACGGCTGCTGAGCGCCTCTGGCTGTGCTGATGCAGAGCCCAGGATGCCTCCAGGCCCTCCAGGGGAAAGGCAGCAGGCTCACCCCGTCACTGCCTCTACTTGAATGTTGGCTTCCAGAATGCTGGTTCCATGTGACACGGCTGCTGGAACTGGGTCAGAGTGTCAGGCAGGGCCCCTGCCTGGGCTGAAGCTACAGCCAGTGCTGCAGAAGGAACTCCAGATGAGGGGGGGCGGTTCCTGAGTGGCGCTGGGGGCCCACCGCGGCGGTGCTGCGCCTGGCCCCTGAACAAGAGTAGCGGTGCTGCTGGAGGGCCGCCCTCACGGGGAGCTGGCCCAGCCTGGCACCTGTGCCTCGGGGCACCGCAGCTCACTGCCTCACTGCCAGATACACCTGCGGAGCCGGGCCGACCGTCCCCAAGCTCAGAAAGGAAGCCCAGATGGCCGTGCTGGTCCTCAACTCCAGCTGCACGTAGGACCGGTCTGCGAGGCCTTCTAGATGGGCAACGGGAGGGTCAGAGGCGGGGGGCAGTGCAACAGGGTGACTGTGGCCCGTGCATGTTCAGACAGTTTCGTGTCAGTTTCCAGTATTCGACTGAGACCAAGAATCACAGGCCTGGAGCCCTGGAGACAGACTCTGGGCACTTGACGCCTGCCCCTGCTGCCGGGCCCCAACCACGGCTCCGGCTTGGGTCAGGTTTCCCTGCAGACCTCACCCCACGTCTTTGCAGATAGGGACGCTCGTCAGGCTAACGAAACGCGGGCCTCTCTTCCTGTCACGGGCCTTGCAGAGGCCCGTTCTTATTTCACGTTCAGACTGCACATTAACATCTTAGAGAGGGCTCCCCAAATCACGTAAGGTTCGGATCCCACCTCCGTCTCACAGGGAAGGTCACGCATGGTTGGGGAACGGAGGTCTGCTCACAGCGTGCCAAGGGTCTGTCCCTTTCCTCTGCCCGTTCGGTCTCTGGGTCAGTTACGCTTGGGAAATTCCTGACACTCTGGAGCTCCAACCGAACCCCCAGCAGCACCCCAGATGTGCCATCACGCCTCCAACTCTGCATGTCCCACAGTGCCCTCCTTACATCCTCTCACACGCCCCGCTCTGGCTGGGACCCATCTCGGATTCCCCTGCTCCGACTGCCACCCTCGCGCCTCCTACAACTGGTCAGTCCCACCTACCTTCTCACCATCTCTTCTGTGTCCCCCTCTCCACCCCTATGACTGAAGCCAGGCCTGAGCCCCCCCGCCAGCTCTGGCCCAGGCTCCTGCGAGGATGCCCCGGGTTTGCGACTCCGGTCCTGATTTTCTCCAGCCCCTCGTGCACATGCTACCAGAGCGATGCTTCTAAGACAGCGAGACTCCTATACGGCCTGACTCCTTTAATGCCCTCACCGACCCTCTCTTCGAGCACTTGGGAACACCAATGGCGCAATTACCACCTGCCTCGCTCCCCGAGGGGCCCGGCCAGGCCTTGGACGCATGACAAACCTCAGCACCGTCCCCTCTGCTGGGCACAGAGCAAGTACGCAACAAACGTTTTTCTGAGCGAATGAATGGTGTGCGGGGACTCCGATGGCTTGGCTTGCCCTTCAATTAGTAGGAGACTCAAGAATCCCAACTCCGTCCTCAGAGGCCACGGAAGCATCAGCCGTTTCCAATAACAACTCAGTCTGAGTACAGCCAATACCCTGAATAAATTTACCGACCCTTTAACATTTTTCTTTGGCTGACCTGCATAACACATGAGAGTAAATTCTCTCATTCAATGGCTGATCACCGCCCGCCCTCCCCCCCCGCCCGTGGCATCTACTTGTCCTGATCCTGAAGCCTGCTGCACAGTCCGACAGGGATAGTTACAATTTACAGAGCGTCTGGGACATGGTGGGTGCACCGGGGACGCGGTGCCCCGATCTGTCAAGTGCTATCCCATTAATTCCGCAATCTTCATGAGTATCTCAATTAGAGAAATAAAGCAGGCGTAAGCATATTAATAAATTAAAACCTGAACGCCGATGAATGCTTGTGAGCCTGTCTTTCCGATGCGCACAGGGAAAGCAAAATTCAACTGCTGCGTTTTGACAAACCCTGGTCACTGTCTGCGGTGCACACTGGCCTGGACCTTCCACCAGCGTAGGTGATCACAGGCCTGAGGGATCGTGACCAGGGTTTTGTCCAAGGATCTAGGAGGGTTCATGGCTCTTGTGAGCAGGAAAAAAAGGCCAGGCAGGTTGAAAGGAGAGGACGAGGGATGTCAAAAGAGAGAGGGAGGGAAAAGTGAATGCAAGAAGAAAAAAAAAACAAAGAAGCTTACAAAAGGCCATGTGGAAAAGGGGCAGAGGGAAAACAGGAAGAAACAGACAGTGTGGAAGAAGCATAGACCCCGTGACCGAGGAAAACACAGAGTAAAAATAACTCGGGGTCTAATTCATGCCTTGCAGCGTTTAAGGAGAAACCCAAGAGGTTTTGGATTTAGCCACGAAACAGTGTGCCCCTGGACAGGCAGGTTCCTATTGAATTGTCCCCGAGGGAGAAGTCCCCCCTCACTGGCTCGCGATCTTTTCTTTGAACTTGACTGACTTACTGATCAATTGAGTGAAAATCCTCCCCAGCATGGGGCCATTTTTTTTTTCCCCCTATCATTTTAATAAAGAAGCTGGCTAAGGGCAGATGTTCAGCGGATAGTCTACGATAAGCTCGGATACGTAGTATGGATTTCAGTCCTGTTCGTGGATAAAGAAGCTTGGAAAGCAATCTGGAATGACATAATGGACCAATACTGCTTTCTCCCTCCTAAAGCAAGTGTGGTTTTGATAGACTTTTAATATGTATTTCGGGGTCTGAACTGCAAACCGTCTCTCCATTACTCTCTGCCAGACGATCTGAATGACAGCTCTGGCCCAGAGATATTTTTCCATTATAATTTTTCAATTTGTTCTGGTCTGAAAAATGTGTGTAAATGAAAACAGAGAAAATTCAAGCACTGTGCCCCTTTCAAACACTCTGGTTTGTATTTACAATGACTCTGCAGACCCTGTCCTGCTTCCCTTGTTTTTTTGGCAGATGACCTTATTTTTTCCAGATTTCTGATCGCTTCTAATACGCCTTAAAATATTTACCGGATTTGCAGGAATGCCTCTAACTCTTCCTTATTTTTCACCCTGTTTTGACCTACAATTTCTTCTTTTAGCTCCCCAGCATCCAAAACAAAACAAAACAAGACAAGGGGCGTCTGGGTGGCTCAGTCGGTTAAGTGTCCGACTTCGGCTCAGGTCATGATCCCACGGCTCGTGAGCTTGAGCCCTGTGTCAGGCTCTGTGCTGACAGCTCAGAGCCTGGGGCCTGCTTCACATTCTGTGTCTCCCTCTCTCTCTGCCCCTCCCCTGCTCATGCTCTTTCTTTCTCAAAAATAAATATTAAACAAAATGTTTAAAACAAACAAAACAAAACAAAAAACACAAAGAAACACATAAAGCAGCTTTGTAAAAGCTCAGATTGGCCTCAAGATTGAAGAGAGGTGTTCTCTCCCTTTCCCAAGTACACGAAACCCCCGCCCTCCCCCCCTAGGAAATGAACAAATAGGACAGTCCTTCAAAGCCCTTTTGCCAATCTGCTTTGGGAGAGCTGGGCCAGTCTCCTTACCTTAAATAATTATAACAGCTCAGGTTTCCCTAGTGACCGGGAAAAAAAAAATTTACCCGGGAACTCAGACTGGATTACTGTGGAGTAATTTGTATACACTCCAATTAGCTGGGGATTGGTAAACCTGGAGGCCCTGAGGCTGCATCGTGTAATATTTTTACTCACTTCTCTCTGAGAGCCGGACACCCACAGAGGAGACCATGCTTACCTTCCTCGGCTTCACTTTATCGTGGTAGTCATACTGGAAGATTCCTTTGTAGCTCAGTCCCAGCCACCACGGTATCCCCTGCTTGTCCTAGGACATCGAAAGGAGTATGGGTAAATACAGGGCCAGAGAACACACACAGGGACGGAGAGAAGGCCTCTGGGCTCGTCCGATGACAAAGGAAAACGTAAATCCCTTGACATGGATGGAGCCCACCTCCTACTTTTCACTTAACAGATGTGCCCCCTCATCAGACTGTGCTCAGTTATGTGAACCAGTGCCCTGGAGCATGCCCTGGGGTCGGGACCCAGCTCTGTTCCCAGCCAGCAGCACGCTGCGGTGCTTCCCCCTTTATGAGTAGGTAGCGAAGGCCTGTTCTTTGTCCTCCTTGTAAGGCTTTGGGTTTCAAGAGAATCCGAGAGATGCTGAGCATTCTCATAAAACGACCTTCTGAGCAGAGAAACGGTCATCGACTGTCACAGCTAGAAGGGACCATGAACACCATGGAAGGGGACTCCTCTAAAAAACTTTTTTTTTTTTTTTAAGATTTAATTGTTTTTAGAGAAGTCTGAGGTTCACAGCAAAATGGAGAGGTGAGTACAGAGGTTCCCCATACCCTCCCACCCCCCTACATGCAGAACCTCCCCCACTGTCAACCTCCCCCACCGGAGGGGAACGTTCATTACACCTTGATGAACCTACACGGATACATCATGGTTACCCAAAGTCCAGAGTTTACATTAGAGTTCATTCTTGGTGGTGAACTCTGTGAGTTTGGACAAATGCATAATGATGTGTATCTACCATGATGATAATATACAGAGTGGTAGCCTCACTGCCCTAAAAATCCTCTGTACTGCCTCTTCACCCCTTCTTCTCCCCCCTCCCAGGTTCTGGAAGCCAGTTTTGCCTCTTCCAGAATGTCATCTAGTTGGAATCATACAGTATGTAGCCTTCGGCTTGGCTTCTTGCACTCGGTAACACGCATTTAAAGATTCCTCCAATTTAAATTAAAAAAATTAATGTTTATTTTTGAGAGAGAGAGAGAGCGAAAGAGAAAGAGACAGACAGTGGGGAGTGGGGGCAGAGAGAGAAGGAGACACAGAATCCGAAGGGGGCTCCAGGCTCTGAGCTGTCAGCACAGAGCCTGAAGCGGGGCTCGAACCCACGGACCGTGAGATCACGACCTGAGCCGAAGTCGGGTGCTCAACTGACTGAGCCACCCAGGCACCCCAAGATTCCTCCAATTTTAACGACCAAGAAATCAAAGCAAACGGTTGGTCCTGCTCTACTCAGGGCCCGCCCCCCAGCCCTCCAGCAGACCAATGGCAGTGCAGGGTGGGCGGGGGCCACCCTGCAGTCCCTGCTCCCCTTAAGAGATCAGCTGGATTGTGTGACTCGTGCCATCTTGGACAAAGTAGCAAAATCAAGGCCCAGACCTTCTGGGAACCGAATCAGAAGCACCAAGCCCCTCTGCTCACTCCTTTAATAGAGATCTCTTGCCACCAGATTGTAAAGTGTGATCCTACATCCAAGGAGGAGGGGTCTGAGCTGTTAACTAAAGGTCCCGAATGCTAGGAGCTGACACAAGGCATCCCCAGCAGCCTTCCCCTAGATTTGTCCTAACTGCCGCACCTGCGAATAACCGCGGACCCCCATTGTCTCGACAACTCGAAATTGGCTTCACGGTTTTTAAATCCTCACGAGTTATTTGAAGGTAAGCGCAAAGATAAAAGGGCAGAGAAACACGTTTTGAATTTTTAAAAGTTTCAGGGTATGTAATTTCCTAAGATAGTCCTTTAAAGGTATAAAAAGCTCTGTCCCTGGAAAGTGTCTGTGTGTCCTACATCAGTCTCTGAGAGCGACACAGGAGGGGACTCAGTGCCACCACAGCTTTGGGTGTCACCACACCAGAGAATACGGCAGCTGTGAAATCGGGAGGCTACCGACTGGCGGGGCTCGATACAGTCGTTTGGGCTTGCGTGGATACGTGTGCTCTGTCTCCACCTGAGGAGGAGAGCCCTGGCTTCAGCCTGGAGGTCCCAAGAGGCCAACACACAAGCACTTCCGGCACTCTGGAAATCACAAGGTCTGTTTCTGGTCTCTCGCAAACTGCAGAAAAGCACGTTCCTGAAGTTTTATTGTAAGGCAGAAAGCATATATGTATCACAGGCTCCCTTGCTGTCAAACTCCAGGGCTGACGAAGAGATGGGACACGGGTTTACGCAAGTAAAAGACTGGATGACGTCCCTGCGCAGAGACATCCACTCTATCCATGACAATCTCTCTCGGCAGTCTAACATCTGTCTTCCAACAGATGTCTGTCTGTCCAACAGTCTTCCAACAGACTTTCGTCGGGGGGGCCGGAGGGGTGAACTTCAGAATCTCTATTCTCAGTATGAGCGATGGAAGTGAGCTCAAATTATGAACAGACAGCAGATGAGAGAGCCTAGTCCAGGGGATTTCTTGTCCCTATTCTTGGGCACAGCCCCCTTTGCTGCACGTCCCCACAGAATATTCCCACAACGGAGAGGAGTTTCTATGAAATGTGTAACAACTATTGTTGGATCCCAAGATTTCCTTTATGGTAACCAGATGGTGACGGGGATGTAGACTCTACAACCCTCACTGGCTGTGTGTGGAACGGTGGCAGCCAGCGTGGGGAATTGTGAGCCTCAGGTCATATCATAAAGTGTCCAATTTCCCTTGGGGGAGCCGACTACCCGCTGACTTCAATGGGCACATCTCAAGGTGCCACCTCATAGAGAGCTGGTCTCCACAGTGGATTCACCTTCCTCGAGTGGGACAGGAGACGCTAAAAAGGCCACGGGATACTCCTCATGACAGATTTACAGCTGAGAACTTCTGGGCAGGAATGGCTGGGACAGTTCTAAGAGTTCCATGAATGATGGAGAAGAGGGATTCAGGCTTCCCTCGGTGGGGAGAGCTTTGGTAGGACATCAGGAAGAATTTAACCATTTCCGGCTTTAAAAGATCCTGAGCTGACAGTCGGTGAAGCATCTGACTTGGGCCCACATCATAATCTCACAGTTCGTGAGTGGGAGCCCCGCGTCGGGCTCTGTGCTGACAGCTCGGAGCCTGGAGCCTCCTTCGGATTCTGTGTCTCCCTCTCTCTCTGCTCCTCCCCCGCGCTCTCTCTGTGTCTCTCAAACATAAATAAACATTGAAAAAAAGACCTCAGCCGAGCTGCTGGGTAGGACTGGGGTTCCCGCGTGTGCCTCATAACCAGGCTCCGCAAATACAGTTCCAACATTCATTACCATCACGGAAGGGGGAAATGCAACTACCCAATTTAATTCTCAATAAACACTTATTTAGTCAATATTTACCGAGTATCTACTATGTGCCAGGCACTTACAGGGCTCCGGGAATGAAAAAAGGAATGCAACACACTGTCCTGGCCATGAGAAGGCTGCACTTTAGTGGAAGATACAGGCAACGAAACACACAAAGTGCTGTGCGAGCCGCAATGAGTGACACAAAGATAAACGTAGCAGAGAGTACGTTCTAGTCCAAGGGAATTAAAAATACAGCTGGATGGAAACACGGGGAGAGAAACTGGTAAACGGGCAAGCGAATCTCAGGTTGGCTGGTTGAACTGTCTAGCATTCAGAAATGTTTTCATTTCAGCTGGACTTTGGGCAAGGACTTAATCTTTCCATGTTGGGGTCAATTAAAGGAGGGAAATTATCCTGTCTCATCACAGATAAGGGCACACGGGCATGTCATTATCTATTATTTCAATGAAGGGATCCCAGTGTGGAGCATTACGGTAAAACCAAGAAAAATTGAGCATAGGGTTCATGTTCCATGAGACTTGCCATCACAACATTTAAGAAGACACATCTTGTCTTCTTAAACAGCCATGTACTTAATTTGTCAGCCTCTAATGCCGGCCCTCCTCCTCCAAAATTGCCTGTGTGGCATTTGACCACCAAGAAAAACATTGCTGATTCTGCTTAAGGTTTTTGTTCTCCACAGTTCACTGCCTTCAGAGGGAATCGTCCTACTGAGAGGCTCTGCGGTCCTGACGTCCCAGGATTCTTCTGAGAATCAGAGGAAGAAGGGACTCATTATACCCACTTTGCATAAGAGAACATGAGTTTTGGAAAGTGACTGCATCAAGTCTTCCGACGTGGGGGGAATGTTCCAGCGCCCAACCCTCCTCAGCACACAATCATCTCGAGCAAGTCCTCTATCATGCCTATCCGTCCCCACCCCCCAAAATCTTCAGTAAGATTAAAAAGGAAAAACTGAGAAGTGTTTCTGTTTTTTTTTAGGGCAGGGTTGGTACTTACTTTCACTGCATAATAGTGAACCCCGTAGGTTGGGAGAGACTCCACGATGCTCATGTAGCTGGGAAGAGAGAACACACACACACACACACACACACACACACACACAGGTGGTTATTCGGCAGGTCTGGAATCAGAGACATATTTATGTGTGCGCGTGTGTGCGTGACAAAGCTCTCAGAGTGATTATTTACCTGAAAATTGAAACTGAACCCTCGTCACCCCCCGGGAGTTATGTGTCTTTGCGAACAGAACTGAACAACCCTGCCACATGCTATATGTACACACACAAACACAGCCTCGTGGGCACTGGGAGAGGCCACTTACTTTACAATTGCTTGACCTCTGGTCTGGCCGTTCAGTTTCTTGTAGTGCTCAATGACTCGGTCCTCACTAGAATTGCAACACAAAGATGGTGTTACATATGGTCCACAGGTCAACGGTCAGCACCCTGCTGACGGAGAACCTTCTTCCGAACCTGAGCAACGTCCTGAGAAGTTCCAAGGAGCCAACAGCTCCTGGAGAAAGGATTTGTCCTGAAGTGGCATTTCTGAACTCAGCCTAAGTGAGGTGTTTTGGGCTACAGCTTTACTTGGGGTCAGCTCCCTGCAAGAAATGCTGCCATGGCAGATGAGGAAGAAGCAGTGAGCATGTGTCTCCCTGGAGAGGGACACAGAGCCGGGGACAAGAAGAGGCCGGCTGGCTGGGGATCAGGGGGGACGCTGTGGCAGAATGCCCACATCTTCCTCGTCCTCTGCATCCCCTGGATCCTGTCTGCACACGGCCTCACAGGGGAGGGCAGGCGCTGACCTCAATAGAATGCCCACGTCTTCCCTATCATGAATTAGTGGTCAGCGTTGAGGGCTCCCAAGGAGGATGGAAAGTTCTGGAATTTGGGCCTGGCTAACACAATCCATGAGGCAATCCAAGGCCCAGAGAAGCCCTGGGAAACAATGAGGCAGCTACCAGAAGTGAGATGGGAACGCCACGATGTCCTGAAATCTCAGCTCTAAAACAGCAAGAGACTGGCTTGTGCCTTGGGAGACACCCGCCAGCCAAACCCCTCTTTGACAGGGTGGGGGGGCACGAGGGACTCTCTGAGAAGGGACTCTGGTGCCCGGACAGCCATGGCAGCTGAAGCACAGAGCCAAGCTGGGGAGTCACAGGGAAAGCACATCCCACCTGCAGAGGAGTCAAGTCTCCAGCAGCGTCGTGTTCGGGCTGGGCCCCCCACCTCACCAGGCCTTCAGAGCGAGACCCTCAGCGTCTGCTCTTCTCTCTCCCTGCCCACCCCCTCAATCAGCGGCTGGGCTGGGCGTGTTTCCTAGCACAGGGTTTCGAATTTTGTGAGGGCAACCTGTGGATCCAGGGGTAAGCAACTCAGGGGCGACAGGAGCCAATTTCCTTCCCAGTTTGGGGAGAGAAGGTCCCCGGGCGGCGAAGGCGAGATAAAAATCAACGTAGGGCTGTAGCTGCGAACACAGTCGAGGCTCAGACAAACACTGGTTAAAGTCAGAAACGCCGTCAGGCAGCTGTTCAGCTGTTTGCCAACTAAATGGCTTCTCAGGGCTTGACAGCTGCAGGAACCTGCCGCCCCTCATTTCTCTGTACCTCCTGCTGACCCAGGCCATCTGTGAGACCGCGGTATGCAGCTTCTCCTTCCCCAGCTCTCCCCGCTCTGAAACACCATGGACCCAGCATGCGCCATGCTGACTGAGAACCCACTCTGCTCCCTGCCCCCCTCCTCCCTCCTCTGGAATTTACAGATAGCCCAAGTGCACTGAGCTCTGTGGGCAGTTTCCCAGCTACCCTGGATCTCTGGTAGGGAGTTATCGATGGGATAACTGTAAAAAAGGCACCAGCCACAGAATCCCAAAACACTATTTGCAGGACACTGTGTTACATAAAGGAGGAAGACAGATGATTCCGGCCGACTGTGCCTAGCCACGTCATTCTGGGAGATCATCTCTCTGCAGGCAGCGGCCCAGAAAACCCACGGGGATGGAGATATGGTTCCCTGTCTTGCAGGAGCCATCGCCTGCACTGGTCAGTGATTTTGGAGTAAAGATAGATGCCCCTGCATACCCTGTAGGGGTGGTTTGGCCGGGGGGGGGGGGTTGCCCAGCATTTGCAAGCTAGGCCCTTGAGAGAATCCAGGTCAGGGCCCTGCTACTGCTCTGTTCTATGGCCCTGGGCGCGTAATTCTAACCGTCTGCATCACCTGTCCCCCGATAGGGAAATCCCATGGAATAGAAGTCCAAGCTGGTTACACGCTTGGGGAAAATTAGTAGAAAGCATTACTGCACGATTACTCAGCATTATGATGTACCTTTCACTACATGCTACTTGCATTATGTGACTCTTACTTCTGCTCTTGCTTACAGTCTGGATCCAGTAGGTATGGTTAATTCCGCTCTATGGGTGGGAAATTGAGGCGGCAGAGAAGTAACTGAAGCTTCCCGTGCTATTCAGAGACATGGCTGGGATTCTAAACCCCACAGCTTTGCTCTCTAAGCTGTGATGCCTTTCCCGACTAGTGTGGACGGGCTCCCTATGGCTTAGTCCAGCCTAAGGGTTGTCTGCCGCATCCGTGAAGTCTAGCGAGAGCGGGAGAGCCTGGAAGAAGGGCAAATATCCGTCGCCCTTCAGGGACGATCAGGGCAACATGAGGCTGTGGGCAACCTGACAGACTGTGGTGTGAGAGCGAGTGAAAGTCTCTTCCACCGACAAGGGGTCATGGTTAATCGTAGAGACGCGTGATGATGCTGTGGCCAAGGAAAGTCTACGGACACGCAAGTCTGTCTCCGGTCTACGAAGCACGAATAGCATTTATCCCTTCCTGAAGTCTTTGCTTTTTAGAAATCCAAATGAGTAGGTTGGAATATAGAGACCGACTTCAACCAGCCAACTGCAGTGAATAAGGCATTTTTTCGGCAATGCACCAACAAGATGGGCCATGCGGCTGGCGTGTCTGTGCATAGGCTGGGCTGTGCTCCCTGAGGGCACCTGTTTCAAAAATCTCACTTCCTCCATTCCGTGTCTTCCCCGTGAGTACACACAGGGGCACGGGTGCCACTGGGTCCAAGTGAGGCCCAGGGAAAGCGCTGGCCGGGCCCCAGAGATTGGAGGGGTGTCGGTAAAGACGAAGCTGTTCATATGAACACAAAAGACGAGAGCGACATGAAGGAAGACATTTCTGTATTAGAAGTAACATGTGAGCGTGGAACAGACTGTGGAGATCACGAAAGAGAGAAAGAGAGAGAGACACACACACACAGAGACTGGGAAGGAGCTGGTAAGCACAGGGTGTACATGCCGGGAAACAAATGAATGAGGAGGTCGCTGAGGGATGGTTTAGATTAAAAGCAACTCTGACCCCAGAAAACCCAGCCCCCGCCTGGCAAATTCATCCCCTTCGTGCAGGAACTACTGGTCTCCAGAACTATATTCTCGTGTCTCTAACTCTTTCACCATTGGTATCCCCAATGCGAACAGCTGGTGGGGGAGGGGGACACGGACGATGAGGCCCAGGGGACACGGGGGACCGGGGAGAGGGCAGCACGGCTCCATGAGTGAGGGGACAGGAGAGTCGTCTGTTGGTGTGCACAGGTGCAGGCCGCCAAGCTGGCAGCGTGGGAGCGGACACGTGCACGGGTGAGTCTGCAGGTGAGATAGATTCTGTCCCTGGGGGGGCAGGTTAGGATTCTATAAAGCCACCATGCATTCACCTCTATGTTTGTGCAGGACGTGCGGCAAAAAACCAGCTCAGAGAGACGAGATGGTGGGGGACGGGGGGGGGTGCCAGCACCCCGGGGGCAGGGGGGCTCTCTGCCCCTGGGACTCAGCGTCTCATTTGTGCTCCCGCTGCCCCATCGCTTGGTCTCTTGAGGAGAAACGACCTGTGGCCCAGAGTTGAACCCGCTGATGCCGTGTGCATCACCACCCGCCCTAACCCAGCCATTGGAATCTCTGGGAGCCACCTGAATAACTGAGCCACTAGTGTGCTGCCTGCAAAAGTGTCCAGACGAGACGAAATGTTAGCAATCCAGATGATGCACAAAGCAGATTCAAGAGGTGTTTACAAGCGTCGCATGTTACAGTTTATCAGGACTGACCTGCGACTTTTGTTTTATTATTACTACTTTTGTTGTTGTTGTTAATAAAAGCACTCATTGCTTGTTGCAAAGGACTCAGAAGGAACACGAGGGCCATGGCAGTGCACTCCTCCTGGGTCGGTGGTGAGGGCCACCCGGGGACACAGGCCCCACCCGATCGTGACCAGAACCACAATCCAGGACCCTTTCGCGCGCCTGTTTTATTCGGAATCAGTAATCCGGGGCCTGACGGATGAACTAGGATGTAATGTTCCACTGCGGCCAAATCAGGAGATAAGAAACATTGTGGGAAAATCAAAGAATCAATCTCTCTCTTCTGCAAATGAAAAAAAAAAAAAACAAAAAACCCCGCAGTTCTCCCACATCTCCAAACCTCACACATCCTGTCATCAAATGACAGGGATTCCAGAATGAAACTCGAGCAGCACATGAAAGGGTCTCCAAGGAGGCAAAGCCTCCAAAGTGAAATTTTAGACGGTTTTTTTTTTTCTTTTCTTAAGAGAAAGAAAATAGAAAATGGCAAACCATGCCACTTAAATACATGCTGAAAATGGTTTGGCCAAGACCTAAGCCGCTTCTCCAAGCTGGAGTGGGGCCGGCTGGGGTCCTGGTGCCCCGGCCCCTAGTGCCCCGGGAGGGCTCGCTCCTGACGGGTGCGCCGAGGGGGTGCAGCTTACCAGTAGGCCAGGGAGGGGTGCTCCTTCAGGGCTTGAGTGGGGAGCGCCGGCAGCTTCTTTAAGTCACTCCTCACCACCTCATTGCTGGAAGACAGGGAGGGCACACAGACAATGCCAAGGAATGGTTCACCCTCCGAGAAAACCACCGCACTGTGTGATCTGCCCCGCCCCGCTCCGCCCCGCCCCGCCCCGGCGGCCTCAGCCGAGACCCCACTTCTGTTCCCTTTTAATGAAAACTGGATGGGGGAGGGGGGTAGGAAGGGGTGCTCCCTTTTAATTGATTGATTTAATATAGAGGAAAGAGAACACACGAGGTGCAGAGCCCAGAAGGCCTCTCCTCTGGGGCACAGAACAGGACAGGGCATTGTGCTCACAGATGGCCCATATGTGGAGCAGGGCACACGCCCAGGGCCCCTGAGCAGCACAAATCTGGGAAGAGAAGGGTCAACAGTGTCTGGCAGAAGCTCCTAGGGTCCCATCACGGGCTCTGGGGGCCCCAGTGGGCAACCCGACTGCTTCTCCTTGAGAGCTGTTTCCCTCAAGAACACACAATGCTGGTTTTCTCTGCTCGGATCGTCTGCACACTGGAGACTGTTGTCCAAAATATGAGAAAAAAAAAACCTTCTGCTTTTGGGCCACCCGGGTGGCTCAGTTGGTTAAGCATCAGGCTTTGGCTCGGGTCACGATTGCACAGTTCTTGAGTTCAAGCCCCAGCATCGGCTCACTGCTGTCCGTGTGGAGTCGGCTTCAGATCCTCTGTCTCCCTCTCTCTGTGCCCCTCCCCTGCTCGTTTCTCTCTCCCTCTCTCCAAAATAAATAAAGATGAAAGAAAGAAAAAGAAAGAAAGAAAGAAAGAAAGAAAGAAAGAAAGAAAGAAAGAAAGAAAGAAGGAAAAGAAAGAAATGACTCTTGCTTTTGACAAGACCTGGAAATGACTCCAAGAGTGGGAAGTGGATTATCTAGTCCTAGACGCAGGTCCCGGCACCAGAAATTCTGTTCCCTGCACCCCCCCCCCAGCTCCCATGTTGTCAGGTTAGAAGGACACTTAAAACTCCCCTAGTTGTAACCAGGCTTCTTTAGAGGCTCGACTCCTCTCTGCACCCTCAACAGACCTGCATCCCCGCTGGGCCAGGGCACTGGGGTCTGCACGCCCTCTTCACCTCCAGAGGCCATTACTGGCCTCCTCCTTGGGATGGCTTTGGCCTTTAGAGCGGCTCACGGCCCCTGCCCCGCTGGCAAGGGCTCACCCCGTGGAGCCTGCCTTGGTCCACAGTTCTAACCAAGGCCACAGTAGCAGCTTCTGTGCTCCTCGCACAGAGCAAGGCAGATGCTGGCCCCTGGGAGGCTGAGCGATAACATCAAGACAGCAAGGAGGTAGGAGCTCAGGAAGTTACATGTGAAGGAAGGACAGAAAGGCAGCACAGTCACAGATGGGGAGCTCCTGAGGCAGCTGGACAGCAGACACCCCAACACCCACGCCGCAGACTGGAGGATGTGCCCTTTGGGAGAACCCACCCTCCCGGAAATGCTGCCCCGGGGAACGGATCACAGCGGCTACCCTTTGCATACCAAGTGCCAGTGGGCAAACCGTTCCAGGACTTTCGGTTCAGTTCATTTATGTGCTGCCCAACACCCCCGGGGGGGGGGGGGTGGTGGTGCGGGGACTGGGTGGGGACACAGCTGCTCTCAGGGTGCTTTCCAAGCGGACTGAGAAATGGTGTCAGTGGTGTTTCTGCACAGCCGACCAGAACAGCTCAACGTGTTACCATATGATGCAACAAATCCAAGTACTACAGCAGCTGTCACCTACGTGGTTAGGCAAGGATTTATCAATTAATCGTTAAAAAGTTGAAGGTATTTGGGGAGCCCCTGCTAGACAGGGGAAAACAGTGTAGGGGGCTCCAAAAAAGATAAGGCACAGTCTTTATCCAAGAGGCACTCGCGAGTTAGTGGGGCGGCATGAGCGCGAACAGAAAGATTACTGATTAAGGGCAGTAGTCGATCACGTTGATTCAAACAACACATTCGATAGCTCAGAGGAAAGAGAGCCCCTGTGAGCTCTGGTGGAAGCAGCAGCTTTGGGGTAGGGCCTGGGTGGAGAAAAGAAATAGGAGTATCATTTTCATGGAGTTCACACGTAGCCAGTAGGCAACGGCCAGCCACTGGGGGTTTTCAAATGGGTGAGCCCCCTGTGTTTGGGAAAATTCAGTTCCCAAGCAGGGTCTGGAATTTTTACTCGCATCCTATTAAGGCATCATTCAAGCAAATATTCAGTTCACCGAACACCTGAGAGCCCGCGGGGATGAGTTTCTGGATCTCACCTCCCCTGTTTCACCACAGGCACCCTGAGAACAGGGCTTCGATTCACTGATCATCAGCGGCACCTTACCTATCAAAAGCTACTCACTCTTGTGGGATGAACTTGTGCTGGCAGAAGCCGCGGGGGGAGCAAATTCAGCTGAAGCTGGAGTTTGGGTTTTCTCACACTCATCACATTTGGAGTATATTTGGGGAAGGAGGAAGGTAAAGGAGGAAGGGATCGTCTTACGCACCAAACACTAGTTTGCTGGCAAACAAGTTTCCCCGATGACCATCGCAGGCTTGATTTCCTGGCGGGAGCCCGCCGTGGCTTCTCCAGCTCTCCCCCAGGGCAAGGTCACACGGACAAATACAACAAGAAATCACGAAGGCGTGAAGCCCATCCACGTCCATTACATTCTGGAAGGGATCCATGGCTCTTAATCCTTCCCACAGGACAGCTATGTAGAAATGTTTTATTTGCCTTTCTGCTGTCTGTAAACATCTGTGCTAACTTAGAGGTGGTCAGCCCAGCGAAATGATCCGGCCCCACTCTGTGGCCGCGTATCGGACGGCTGCCCTGATGGCAGACCCGGTCGCTGCATCTCCAGAGGCGTGGGAAGCTACGACCTAATGAACGTCCTAGAAGTCCCCAGTTTCCTCTTTCAGGGTCATCGACTCAGACGTTTCCCCCCCAGAGTTCAGTGCACTTGATAAATGCCGATGTATAAGACAGCCTAAAATGGTTCACGTTCCATTTTCAGAAAAAGAAAAAAGGCCCCTTGGAGAGTCATTTGCTACACTGCGAATCAACCCAAAGTCTTCTCATTTTTAACATTCACCAGATTTTATTCCAAACTTTTGGGAAGTGGACTCTCAGTGCTGCTCTGGTCTTTGATTTAGGGGGATTTTTGAGATGATGTGTCTCTTTCCTACCACCTACACTGCTTATCATACCTGGGATGTTCAAATGATCTACTAAGAACACATTCTAAGATTTCTAGCAATATATCAAACAAGAAATTTGCTGCAAATAACAGCAACAACAGATTTAACCAAGACATCATAAAGCAAAGGAAGCAAAAATCAAATTTGATCAGAGGATTAGCAAAATCCACATGGGTTTGTTTCCCTTTAAAAAAACGAGGAAACACTTTTTCAGAAGATTCTCCTTAGGTTCAATGAGATGTCCATAATTTGCAGGACAAATCTGGGACACAGAGAAAATGCTTAGTGCGGCAGAATTCTTCCTGAACCCAGTGGTTTCGATGCACACGGCACTAAAACACAAAAGAGCGCTAAGCCCAGAAAGTCAAACCAGCGTAACAAGGAGGATTGTCCTGCAATTCAGGCAAGGCAACGTGATGCCTTTTCACTAACACTAATGCCTCCGTGTTTTAAAAGGCTATCGTGAAGGTCAAGTTCCCCAGGGAGAGGGATTTCCTAAGTAAAAGAGCCCTACAGGTCCTCATTATCCGTAATTCCCAAATCCAAAAAGCTCTAAGAAACAGACATTTCTGTAACACCCTTGGTGGCAATCCTAACCTTTTTATAGGAGGCAACATTGGACCTTTCTCTGCCCCACTTGGTGCAAATATCCATGTTCTGGTGCAGGCACAGTAAGAGGTTAGGTTCCAGGACAGTGCCCCAGACACTATCACGGTGTTCAGGAACACCCTGAATTGCCCCCGTCTAAAATCTACAAATTTCAGAATTCAGAAACATCACCAACACCCTAAAGTTTCAGACCTACACTGTGGATCCGTACGACTTTATTCAATGGTACAATGAATCTAGAAAACTCTAAGATTAATAAGGCAAGTTGTATATTTTTTTCTTCTTTACTGATCTTTAAAAACCACGCAGGGAACAATTTCTTTCCTTTTCCTTCCTCCCTGTTTGTTTGTTTGTTTGTTTGTTTGTTTGTTTGAACCAAGTTTAAGTCCTGGTTACAACAACGAAAATGAGGTGCTTGCCTATTTTCTCCCAATCACATGCTTTTTTTAGAAGTGTGTAGGGAGGGCTGGAAAAGCTGGTAGCTGGGATGTTGCCTGTAACACTTCTCCTATCGTTGTGTGAACATCTGCAGACACTGGCAACCTGAGGACCCGCTGAGACTTCTCCAGCATGGGATTCTGGATTCTGGGTCTGGATCATGGATAAACAGGCTACCCTCCATGGAGGGGGAACATTGCCAACATTTATGAATTGTGTGCCTTTATTTTCTGATGCTAACTACCAATTTATCTGAGTACAGATTTCTTTCTTGACGAGGGAGTTTGGCTTCCTAGGGTGATGCAAAACGTTTTGTGAGTTTCTAACATAGTTGGGAACTTGCAAAATCCGAAACAAGTTTTTAAACATTTTAGAAGTCTACAATCGAAGACAGTGATTACACGCAAATGAAACAAGCAGCAGCAACTGATTAACTTTCTACATCTCCCTTAGACTGGGAATCTTAATTTTGAAAAACTGACATAGTGTTATAGCCACGAGCCTTTCCGCTATTCACAAGGTCAACTCGAAATACCATATTGCTATTAAATAAATGCTTCACAAAAGAGGCAGCTGTCATAATACAAAATCTCCTCCTTACTTTATAGCTAAACGATTCCCACAGGACTTGAAGGATATCGTCCTACAAAATCCCCCGTCTGAATATTTTCCTATGCTCAGAAAATGTGAATTACACACTTGAAAAGCTCAGGAAAATGGAATTTTGTGCATAAAACAACGATTTCTGTAACAATTTATAACTTTTCCACTTGAACATTTTGTTTCAAATT